ATTTAAACTGATTCAACAATTTCAAAATCTAACTGTATTTGCACAAAGCCAATACTTTTCTCAGCAAAAAGCTCAAACGGCTTTATTCTGCACCATTTTTAATCAGATTAGGAATTGATATTATATACAGTATATGTATAGTTACAAAAAGTTTTACATCATGTAATTATTTGGGTACAAAAAGTTCTAACTTTTAATGCTACACTGGAACCTTTCTGATCAGGGACCTTATGTAGCACTAAAAAGTTACAAAAAGTACAAAAAGTTACACAATCAGAGGTGATAGGGAAGAGGTACAAAAAGGTATAACTTTTAGCAGCTACCAAAACAGATACTAAAAGATATAAATTTTAGCAGCTACCAAAACAGATACTAAAAGGTATAACTTTTAGCAGCTACCAAAACAGATACTAAAAGGTATAACTTTTAGCAGCTACCAAAACAGATACTAAAAGGTATAACTTTTAGCAGCTACCAAAACAGATACTAAAAGGTATAACTTTTAGCAGCTACCAAAACAGATACTAAAAGCTTTAATTTTTACGGAGTACTAAAAAAGTACAAAAAGGTACAAATTTTAGCAGCTACTAAAAATCATTTATAGCCAACTATAATTACAGCTCCTGCATAGATATACTTACCTAAGGAAAGCAAAAAAGGGCACATTTACCAGAAAAAAATTATTGAAATGAAAATAAAGTCGTAAGTTCACAGCAGATTTATTGATTTACAGATTCTGATCACATATATATATATAAATATATAAATATAAAAATGTTTTAGAGAGTAAAAAGTACTGCAGACAAACATTTGTCTACAGACAGATAAATGGATCAGACAGAAAACTTTATTTCAGAAAATTTCCTGTCAACATGTCAATTTAATTTCAGAAGGTATGACAAGCCTAATGATCCAAAAGAAATTCATATACTTCATTCATTGCATTTGTCGTAGTGGTAGAATCTGGATTTTGTCTCCAATTCCTACATGTATAAACTATAGGTATAACTTACAAAGTACCTTGATATAACCTTCATTTATCCTGTCAGAATTTTGCTTTTACAAGTATTTTTCCATGGTAACACTGCCACTAACTCTAAACTTACTGGGATGGGAAAATGTGTTATTCAGGACAAGGTAACCTCATCAAAAGGCAATAGTTTACAGAGAAAATAGCAGTTCCTCGCAATGGAATTCTCTATTGATAATAAATAATTAATTTTAGTGTGAATCAAGTTAAAATCTGCACAAGAAAGCAACATGCTTTTGGAATGTAAATACAAAAATCATTCGTTAGTAATATCCCTTTTTCAAAAATAAGTTACTACATTTATAAACATCATAAAAGCCATAACACAGTTCTAAGCCTAGATAAACCTTAGAACGTCCACTGAATGATTCAGAACAATGATTGATATTGTATGAAGTGCTGAAGGCATTTCAAGGCCATATCTTCTACACGATAAAGTGAGTTATGATGCCACAAAACCAGCCATTAGAAACCGTAGACAGGCAGGCGCTACATTTCTATAATGGTGCAATACCCCAACAGAAAATTGGCAAAAAACTACCAAATTCGACCTTAAATAAAGATAGAATTTCTCCAAAGCTTTTATTACTTTCCTGTGCTTCAGTGGTTAAGTTACCTGTGGATCTATTCTGGTTTGAACATTACAGTACAATGTATACATGTATGTAATAATTGAAATACACATTATTTGAAATTGGTACTTGGAGGTTTTTTTTAACTATAAAATGTTAACATTATCAAAATGACTACAGCATATGGTGTAGAATATGTGTGTGTTCTATTTTACAATCTTAAAAACAACTTATTTATGACCCATATCTGGACATTCTGCGGGCAACTGTAGTCATCCATAGTTTAGTCTACAACTTAAGACACTTCTTCTGGCAAAATAACATCTTTACTCTCAGCAGTTCCCATTACTTCCTGACAGAAATGAGTGCAGCAATGTTGGAAAATGAATCATAAAATTTGTTTCTTTCAAATATCCTGTTTTGGTTTGGTAATAAAACCATTTACTATAACAAGACAATATAGTGAATTACAAGTCCTCTACCGACACATCAACTCACAAACGTGGACCTATACCCCAAGTATGAAGTTCCAGTGACTAGTACTATTGGAGATAATGCCAGGAAACTTTTTCATTGATGTAGGTCAAAAGTCAAAATATAGGTCAGAGTGAACTTCTACTCTTGATACATGACATACCAACTCACCAAAATGAACCCTTATACCAGCTTTGAAGCCCCACTGACAAGATAGCATATGGTTAGCTGGAAGGACAGACACAAACCTATAGTCCCCAGTTCCGAGTAGGGGACTCATGAAGATATAAGCCCAAGACTTTGTTTATATCAAACTAATTCTTCCAGTGAACCTTTCCAAGGCCTATTTGTAGCCATTTTTATGAAGATAAACTATCCACAAAAACACTACATATTTCAATAGTTATCTATATATATTGACACAGTCATCTTTTCTTGCCATGAGCATCATTTCATACACTAGGCAAAATTATCAACCAGGATGCAGCAGAAGAGAGACTAACTAAGATGCAGCTGAAGAGAGACTATCTTAAACATTAGAAAGCAAAATTGAAGTCCAAAGCAGGTGGTTGGGATAAGACTCCCATATGTTTTAACAAAAACAAGTTGATGCATGGTATTTAAACTTTATTTGCAAGTCCTATCTCTCTCTCTCTTGATTGAAAACTTCATTTCATATCATTTGAATATATTTTCAATTTCTGCTTTCCTTTCTTCATTTATCACATCTGCTATTTTCACTATATACATATTGTATAATACATTAAGTAATAGAGTAATGAATACTATTAAACACAGTACATAGAAAGGACTTCAGCTTTCTTCTATCTTTTCATTCAGGTGAGGTCAATTAATGTGATTTAAGTGGTACATACATTAATGTAGGAAATGGATTTTTCATGATCATTGTCTCAATTACCTTCTTTATTAAGGTAAATTACGTAAAAATAACTTCAGTTAGACTGACATGTTCTCTCTCAGCCAGACACAGTATCTATTATACATGTGTGAACAGGTGTCACTTGTAATAGATATATACAGTATACATCACTCTTTTTCTTAATTATTTTCCCACTTAACATCAACAAACAAAATGATATAGGAATAGTAACTGAGGGTTTCTTGATTAATTACTTACATAATAGCTAGCATTCTAAACAACTCTTCATTACAGACTAAATGTTTATGTTATGTGTTTAAAAGTATAAATTAGGGTAGTTAGAAACAAAAATTAACAACGGTCATGGTACAGTAAACCCCCCGCTAAACCTCACTCCCCTACCCTCCCTAAAGTTTACCATCCCAGATATAATTTTTGTTATTTGTGTGTTTATATGAATGAATCTGGGTGATTAGAAAAATCAATGTTGGAAAATATCATTAAGTAAATTATTTACCATGTCCTTGCCCCAGTTGAAAACAAAATGCAAAGTGGCTTCACTTTACTATGGAGGGATTCATTTCACCATAATAGTTTGGTTAACTACAGTTCACTTTACATTTGATCTTGGTTTATTTCCCCCATGCTTCACAATACCATGCTACACCGAGATCTCTTCTGTTCATTGGTTAAACAATGTTACCTGTATATACACTGCAGATTGATTCTAATGTATACTGTATTCTGTTATCGGTTTCTTGTAAAAACACTTCACCCATGTTTGTAAACTTAATGCATTTTGGTACTGTTTTGATGTTGATTTAAAAACATGTCTATTATTTTCCAAATGTGAATTTCAAAAAGGATGACAAATTTATTATATTATCAAAATTTCAACTCTTAACTCATGTACTCTACTGCATAAAGTTTAATAATATACAATATATTTATGTAACACGTCAGGGCTCAGGTTAACTCTTTTATAATCACTTCAACTATGCCTAGCATCTGAAAACATCCACTCAATACTCTTTGACACTGAGCAGATATTATGTATAGCAATATAATTTTATCTTCATTCAGCAAACAAATGATTTTTATTTTTTTCAAAACAATTGCAAATTTTATCACAAAACAATAAAGTAGTTTTTCATGGGCTTATTGCTTGTGTTAAAACTATTCACCACATTCAGTGTTTCATTGAGTATTCATCATAGTATTTAATGGGAACAACTAGTGCATGTATATATCTACAATTTCTACTCAGTGCAGGGGTGAATATGGTTAATATTTATCTGATCAAGACAACAGAACAAGTGGACTAGTGATTAACCTGTGCCCCGAATGACAATGTACCTACACAGTCATTATTTTATAATTGAACACAGAAGGTATTTCCCATTTCATGCATTATGTAAACTTACTGCACTTTTTCATAGAAATAATTTCGAAGGAAAACTTAATACAAGTTCCAAGAAAGATAACTCTTACATTTCTCACTTCCGATTGCTACATATTTGAGTGGTTACAATCTTATTTCAGTGTTGATATGCGTTCAAGGTGCCATTGTACATTAGAAATGATATGTAGCTGTCTTTTTTTATGAGTCACCAAAAAATGAACTCTTTTTATAATGTGGTTTTCCAGAAAAGGTACCAAACAACATTATGTACATGTCTGATTTTTTTAAAATCTGATGCTTCCAAACTTAAATTAGATCAAGTTATTCACTTGATAACAGTACTCCATCCTGACGTATCTACTGTTAGCCAAATATCAGTACCCTTGGTCTTATGAAACTTTTGAAGATCAGGTTTTAACATGTCTGACCTCTGTAACCTTTAAGATAGGACGTTTCCAATAAACTTTGTTGATCTTGCAGACTGATGCTGGATACCATGATATGAAATATAAGATGACCTCGCCTTTTTTAAGCTACAAGAGTGGTTTAAATGTTAGTGAAATCCAGATCCAGAATTGTTACTTTCAAATGTAATTAAAACTATTATACTAATTAAACAAAAGCTATGAATAGCTATCTTACCTCCATTTCTGTGACTTGTAGCTATACACACTTCTATAATTTGAACACCAATTTCGTAGTAAAAGTCGCCAACTCCCAACATTTCTGCCCAGAATCCTTTACTGGCTGTAACAAAAAGTCAATACATGGGTAAATGGGAAATAATTCACCTCACATCAAATATGTAAATAATATTTATTTTCTGCTTTGATTGATACCATGGCTGTATAAAACTGAAATTCCTTTCTCATCAACATATATACAGTGAAGTCCAATATTTTCATGAGGTACAAATTTCATGGTTTTTGACAATCAATTTATGTTGATACTTATCTTATTTTTATAGCAGCAACAAAATCATTAATACTAAAAATAAATCAGTAGTTTTAAATGTTTATTCAATTGTTGACACAAATTTGTTGAATAAGCCACACTATAACATGAATACAAATGAAACACACATGCCAGAGGGTCCACTCCTATCGAAGCACACATTTCCTGGAATTGTACCCTAAATTCCGGATCTTTTCTGATGTCTTCTTTGTGTTTGGCAGCAAAATCTTCCAAGTTTTCCTTAAACTTTTCCATTTGTTTTGCCATCTGTTAAAGAAAGATTTTTTCACATTGATGCAAGGTGCAAACATTGAAGATCTGACTATGAATATCTATACTTTATGTGTGTATATACAACATAGCTGTTAATAAGTACAATCTTTTTACAAGTACATGCATGTAAAAGTATGAAAAATGCTACCAAGTTTCTGCTTTTGAAATGAAACAACATCATTTTGAGTATTTGAATCATATGTAAAAGATTTCAAACTTTTATGGCACAAGTTGATAAAGTTAAATTTCATGATACTTGGAGTACATATAGTGTACATTACCTGTGATACCTGGTCCTCTGCTATCTCTGTTCCCTTGTCTTTGTAACGAGCCTAGAGAATGGAAAAATACACAAGCTTGTAACATCAAATGAAATAAAGTAAATTAGTGATATAGATTAATTACTCAAATTATCACACTTTATAAAATCAAAAGTGCATGTCATGATAATTGACAATTCATTGCAGGCTCATAAATATATAAGTTACTGCTACATATATTTCTACATTGAAATAGAACCATAAACAGTAAGAATTCTATTGTAAGTAAAAATTGTTGTAGAGTCACATTCCCTAAATCATTACACAGAGCTGATCATCCAAAAAAGTTTTTATCCACTTTTTTGTAAATATTATTTAAATCTTATCAATCCAACTGTGCAACCACAAAGCTATATTAAAGAATGTCAAGATTTGCCAAAAGAAGCAAGTACACTGACTACAAGGATGTCATAGAGCATAAACTATGAACTGTATACCTTATGAACAAATCTAATAACAGCAACTGTCAACAGTTTTAATGTTCCAACATATGTACACATATTTTTTTTTCGGAAGATTTTACATGGTATTCATGATGACTTAAAAATCATATTCACATGCTCTTACTCTCTCTGATTTTACATTAAACTGATTATCAACATCACTATCCTCATTAAACATCATCATGACCCATAATTATGGCATCATCATCATCATCATCATCATCATCATCATCATCATCATCATCATCATCATCATCATCATCATCATCAAAATCATCATCATCATATCATCATCATCATCATCATCATCATCATCATCATTATCACCACAACTGAATCCTATATAGGATAGAGGACATAAATGTCAACACATACGTACATATTTGACTAGACATTTTCATTGGTTATCAACCCATGTAGATAGTAAAACAAATCTTCATGAACATGTATATACATGTACTTGTATATGGTAGTATCTATGAGATGATCAAACTAAGTTCAGAAATCTGCAATTGTCTGATTTTGAGCTGACGGCTAGTTACATGTACAATATATGGTCAAAAGGAACCATGGTTGGATGCATTGAATAAAAAATATTTAAAGAGTGAAAGAACAGAGGGAAAACACTTCACCGATGAGTGCTCTAAACAGGAATTGAACCAAGCTGCAGGTCTCTGGCGTGATAATCAACCATCTCTACCAACTCGGCCAAAGAAACATGCTCTGTCAGGTGAGTGACAGAGATCATATTTAACACTATATACAAGCAACACCACCCTGCTCTGCTCCTTTTTGCAAATGTAATATACAGCAGTTTTAACTTTCAAAATGTCAAAACTTAGTAAATAATTCAATTCTTAAAATCTACAATATATACATGTGTATACATATTGTGTGAACTTTGACATGATACAGTTTAGTGTAATTCAAGATACATGTAGTTCTCCATGTCCATTGCACATATAACCTACATTGTATATACAGGTACTGTGAGAAATGTATCAATACACTATGAACATTTCTATACGTTCACGTACATCTATACATATATGTATTTGTTCTGTTTGTTTACCATGTACAATGCCTGTCACGACACACATCTCATCATGATGTATACGTTATTAAGGATCTCAGCGGTTCATTAACAACATTTTTTATACTATACATACCTGAGCCAGATCCTTCTTTTTGATAGCACCAATTCCATGCCCCCGTCTGTGCATGACTGCTATACAATAATAAGCGAATTAACTGTCTGATGCCAAACAAACGTCAACCATTCATTACTTTCCGCAAAAGATTTCGAATCAAGGGGAAACTACTCGTACATAGTAGAATCCTACTTTCACTTTCGGTATGACTCTCGCTGCAACAATTCATTTCATCCTTACAGAAACAACAACTCAATTCCAACAGACTCTTTAAATAGAAATTTGCCTCAATAAGATCAGAGAAATGAAAGAAGAAGTTGGCATACCCGTAGATCGACTATTTCTCTGAATTTGAAGACGAAGAATTCGAAAAATCTTGAAAATAACTTTGTCAACTTTCTTGATAAGATTTCTGAAGAGATACAGAATTGAAGACGAAATTGTCATCAAAAATATGCCAAACAGTGAAGAACTAAATATTACAACCAACTCTCAACTTTTCAAACACTCTAGGTTTACATATAATAATTCCAGCACTATCGTATACATGTATTGCTGAAAGTGACATGCTGGCAGAACCATTCTTATTGGAGGCTGCCAATAAAATGAGAACGATAATAACTCAACTGGGCTATCATAATCGGAAACTTGTCTAAACAACATTGATAAACAATCAGTATAGGCAGGGAAAAAACGACAAAACGTAACTTCATAGGGACAGTTTAGACGAAGCATTAGATATCTGTGTTAAAATTGCAAGATATATAGGTGAGGGAAAATGTCAAAATGACGTCTGTACGTTAAGCAACGTTATATGGGTCCTTTCTGTAAAACATTGGTTATTCCGTTAAACACGTCACTGGTCGGAACACATTTTGAGTATTCCTCTGCAATTCGGTCGCTACATCTAAAAAAGTCAAAATGTACCACGAAGAATTTAATTTGAAGCCTTAAGATCCTAATAAACGTGAGAGAGATGACCTTTTCGACTGTCAAATCTCTGGATGATAAGTAAATAAATTTTTTAAAAAAGTCTTCAAGAGGGGAGCTTTTGAAAAAAGACTCGACAAGCGTGGATCTCCTTCTGAAATTTACAGTGTGAAGAGTATGCCAGATATATATCTAATTTATTTGGTGTAAAGAGTACATTTTTAACTGTGATATTTATGAGTAACAGACACGCGACACCAGAGGCATAATTCAGTTTAACATCAGCGTTTACGACTATAGTTTTACCACTGCATGAAAGCCGACACGTCGGAATATTGTAAATAATCAAAAACAAGGTAAATCATGAAAATGATAAATATAAAAGTGCATCGTGGTCCACCTCTGCTGTCAGAAGCTGCAATGCATGTAGACACAGCAACATCAAGTCTCCGTTCAAATATATGTACCATGCATGCAATATGGCAAAACTACATACTTTAAAGAGAGAAAGAAGAATTGATATACCATGTAATATGAAATATATATCAAAATCACTTCTTTTATGAAAATAATAAGAAATAAGATAAGAAAATAAGATACACAAGAAACAGGGAAAATAGACAGAAGACAGAAAAGCGGAAAGAGGAAGCAATATTTTATCGAAAAAAAGGATTGTCGCAACTGTCTATGTTGCTATCAGATTCGGCGGTTTGACTTGTGCTACTTAAATTAATTATGCACGTACATGCACACCTCCCAGTCGCTGCACGAATAACACAATCCAATCAGTTCTGTCATTTTCCTGATGACCTTTTACTAAACCACAAGTACAAAAAGATGAACTATTAGTACTTTACATAATATCTACAATGCAAGAGCCGGGTTTATTCACGCATTGCTTCTAAACCACAATGATCTGTTATGGCAAAGCTAACGCGCATCCTCGATACTCCAGAGGCTACGATCACTCTCGCTCAGAAAGAGATCGTAACTGCTAGGGTAGCAAAAATTTTCACTGAAAATGTTCATTCATGATCAAGCATTTTTTATATCATGACGATCTAGCGCGGCAACTAATAGCAGCGTCAACGTCACTCAGCATTGTGACGTCATAATATGATAAACAAATCTTCGGTCATAAGTTTGTTTTGTATTTTGACGTGATAGCGACGTTCAATCTGAAGACAAAGTTGAACGTCTTAATGACATTGGTGAGTATGATCTATTAGTTGGATTTAATTGCAATACCCAGAACTAAACGCTTCACATTGTCAATGCCTACAGGTACGTACGTAGCGAAAAAAAAATTAATGTAACCTCGTTTACGTATGTGATATAGCCAATTCAATTCTTTTGTCATTTTTTACACCCAATTTCCCTATTGAATATATGAAGCAACCTTATATTGAAAAGTTATACATGATATAACCAAAATCTATATGCGATTGTCACATTTTAAGCACAATAAACATTTTCGACACGAATGGTAATTTCAAAACCATGTACAACTAAGTATACGCTGTAACGTGCGTCATTGCTGCCGGATATCCCGAAAAGAGTGATGCAGCAGAATACCGCTCTTGCCTTCTTCTTCTTCTTCTTCTTCTTCTTTTTAAGTAATTCGTAAGTGTTCGCCTTCTTTCCCTTTTGCATTTTAGAGATGTCCTCTCTTCACTAGACAAGGAGGACGACCACTAGACGGATGGTGGAGACAGACAGGACCAGAATGATGAACCGATTTTGGACATTCTTGTTTTTTCTTTTAATTTGCTCAATTCTTATAAGGTTTCCCCTACCATTATCCTTACTACACTTTTGTGGACGGGTTTTCTACCACGGGTTAAAACAAGAGGTATGTGCTCTGCTTTGTAACATTTTTCCTGCATTTCAACGCTTATGTTGATAATTACGTGTATATAGGATATAGTAACAGTGTTTTCCACGTGGTGACATGATGTAGTAACATTGTTTCCATATGTTGACATGATGTAGTAACAGTTTTACCCGTGTTGACATGATGTAGTAACAGTGTTTTCCATCTGTTGATATGATGTAGTAACAGTGTTTCTCCGTGTTGACTTACTGAAGTAACAATGGTTCCATGTGTTGATATGATGTAGTAACAGTGTTTCTCCGTGTTGACATACTGAAGTAACAATGGTTCCATGTGTTGATATGATGTAGTAACAGTGTTTCTCCGTGTTGACATACTGAAGTAACAATGGTTCCATGTGTTGATATGATGTAGTAACAGTGTGTTACTGTGTTGACATATTGAAGTAACATTATTTCCACCTGTTGACATGATGTAGTAACAATGTTTTCCCATGCTGATATAATGTAGTATCAATGATTCAACGTGTTGACATGATGTAGTAACAGTATTTTCCACCTGTTGACATTATGTATTAACAGTATTTTTCCGTGTTGACATACTGAAGTAACAATGGTTCCATGTGTTGTCATGATGTTGTATCAGTACTTTTCCGCGTTGACATGATGTAGTAACAGTGTTTTCCACCTGTTGATATGATGTAGTAACAATGTTTTCCACCTGTTGATATGATGTAGTAACAGTGTTTTCCACCTGTTGATATGATGTAGTAACAGTGTTTCTCCTTGTTGACATACTGAAGTAACAATGGCTCCATGTGTTGTCATGATGCAGTACATTAACCAAGGCTTCCTCGTGATGATATGGGATTGTGACAACACTGTCTTGAGTCAAATAGATTTAACAATATTAAAAGTGCTGTAAATTTGTGTTACTTTTAAGTAATCCTTTGAAAATAACAAAATGTTTCATGCGTGGTGCGTCCATATACATAGACACGATCAGACAATAGTAGCAATGTTTCTGGTGTTGTTTCGACTATTTCGACAATGAAATGTGTCGTGTGAGGTGTTTCGTTAGATATATAGAGTTTGGCATAAGAACAATGTTTCACATGCTAAGACCGTGTTTCGTTTATATAAACAGTCTAATAGAGCTACTAATTGCGGAATGCGCGAAAATGTTTTAAACATTTAAAATTTTGAAACATCATTTTGTCTACAGTGTTGTCCATTTCAGGCGGATTTACTGAGTCGTGGATGGGCGATACTACTGATAGAATTCATCATATACGGAGGCTCCAAGGTGATGAATAAATGTAGGTAAACTATTTTCCACACATGTAGTGTACACGTGTACAACATCTATTGATTGTTCAGACATCTAACTCAAACACCTCCAAATAAATATTTGACAAAATACACAGAAATAGATACGATTAAAAACGGAAAAGTCAACATAAATCTCACGGAAACGTAAAAAGATGTGAGATTTTTAGATAATTTGTGAAAGTTCGTGAAAGTGACTTTTTGTTAGACTGATACAGGCTTCTCATTGGTGGTATTCCCAATTTATATCGTTTTCATTGGTGACATCACCAAGCAATTGATTCCGTGAACTTATGACCTCACAGTGGAAACATTAGAAACACTCAGCAAACTTAATCAGTCTTGTTTCACTTGGTTATGTTATACATGTGTAGTAAAAAATCTATTGGGTGTTATAACACTGATCACAGGAAACAATGTAGTTATGTAATAACTACAGGGCAACTTATCGTCTCCCGTTAAGTCATATTGTCATAGGAATTAAATATTTATGGTATTTAAAGGGGAGTTTTATTGTTTTTTTTTAAAGAAAAACAAATGGATAAAAGGCCGATACAGACATAAGATAAAGCGGTATGCAAAAACAAACATTAGCGCGTTCTTTGACGTCAAACAGTTTGATGTTACGCTTGACAACAATACGATTCCATTTTGAATAGGGTGTTGTATTCTACGATTTTGATCTGCTCTGCCAAAAATAGCGTGCAAAATCTGTTTTATATTCCAATTCAAAGAAAACCAGAAATATTAAAGGAAATTATTCGATTGAAATAAACTTACATGTATTCAACCTACGCGTCATTTGCGTCCAAAGTAAAATTTCAATACATTGACAAGAGAGCAAAAACAATAGGATGTTTCCCTAGCTAGAGGATAAGACGGAGAATCTACCCTCGGAAGAGATTCACGACTGTCTCATCCGAGACTTTGACTGTGGGGAATCTCCTCCGAGGATAAAGTAGAGATTTATCTGTCCTAACATCAAACTATGGAATTATCATTTTTTACCCCTTATCTCAAACATGCTAGAAACATGACGGGACAAATATAGGCTGACAAATATGGAAGGAAACAACATGAGGCAAATAATGACTTTTGTTGTCATTTTGACCAAAAATTAAAATTTACCTTATACACTGTACAAAAAACAAGCGTGATGATAATTCATTTTCATGAAACTGATTTGAATAATTAAAGATGATCAGATACTGCCTTACAATAACATTAACATTAACCTTATCCTAAACTATCAGTATCGATCAGTCACATCTAAAATTTACAATTACCGGTTGAGCACATGTTTTAAATATGTTCTGTGCGTGCAGGCTGTCTTACACCGATTGAGAATGAGAAATATCACCGGAAGTGTGGATAATTCTGATCGATGGGGTAGAAAATTATATCTTCACTAGGGGAGTTATATGATACTTCTGCATTAAGTTGATAATTTCTATATTTTACTGACAGTGAAATGTAATAAAGGAATTCATTGCATCTTTCAAACCTGGAAAACCAGTAACACTGTAGCTGTTAAGTCCTACTAGTGTATATGTACAACCGTCCAATCTGTTTATGAAATGAATAACAGGCTCTAGTTTCATGAAAACTCTGAAGTACGTTCTCAGTTTTAAGTTTGAGAACAACCAATCAAAAACGACGTTATAAAGCATAACGTCATGCTTCACTGGTGGTTATCTAACTTAAGAATAGGATAATGCTTTAGAATATTTATGTTTACGATTTCACAAAATCCACTTATCATTTCCCTTCCTTTCGTTTAAGTCTTTGCACGAGGTCTTGTGGTTGAGATATTGCCACGTGCTAAACAGAACGCGGTCTCGCAGACGAGTGGACAGTGGCTGAAGAAGATGCGGCGTCAGGACCGGATACAGACTGAAGTGTCTCGTGCTGCCAGGGAGGAATTACGAAGGACGAAACAACACCGTCTCACACTCATCAAAAAATACAGACTAAAATGTAAGTATTATCAGAAGAGAACGAAACAACATCAAATTGCTATAAAAATACAGACTAACATAAAGGTATTTTCGGTAAGGATGAGTCCACATCGTCTCACAGCCATAGAAAGTACAGACTAAGGTGTAAGTATTATCAGAGAGACCGAGACAACATCGTCTCACAGCCCTAGAAAGTACAGACTAAGGTGTAAGTATTATCAGAGAGACCGAGACAACATCGTCTCACAGCCCTAGAAAGTACAGACTAAGGTGTAAGTATTATCAGAGAGACCGAGACAACATCGTCTCACAGCCATAGAAAGTACAGACTAAGGTGTAAGTATTATCAGAGAGACCGAGACGATGTCGTCTCACAGCCATACAAAGTACAGACTAAGGTGTAAGTATTATCAGAGAGACCGAGACGATGTCGTCTCACAGCCATACAAAGTACAGACTAAGGTGTAAGTATTATCAGAGAGACCGAGACGATGTCGTCTCACAGCCATACAAAGTACAGACTAAGGTGTAAGTATTATCAGAGAGACCGTTTCTACCATACGAAAGTATGGCCTGAACATATCGTTCAGTGTGAGCAACGCCGACAGCATTCTCATATATGTACGGACTTAGAAAAATTAAGAGTTCACATCACAACATGTGAGAGTATACGCTTGTTTTGTGTCATTCTCTAGCAACCCATATCAAGAATGACGCAGAGTCCAAGACCAAACTGATGGCGAGTGTCAACAAAAAAGTTGTGTCCCTGGCCCTGACAGTTGATGGACTGATGAACCGTATCCACGAAAAACGTTTCATCTTGGACAGGCAGCGCGAGGACAATAAGCGCGTGCTACAACGCTACGAACAGTTGTATAACGACATCCAGAATAGATATATATACGAGTGATTAGCGTTTTATTTTTATGGGGTATGGGTTTGGAGGTTAAGAGGAAGTCGTACATAACGCTGTGGAATAACGACATTTCTAAGCACCATTTACTAGTGAACAATATTTGATATTAAGTTTTGATATACGTTTATCTCTACAATGTCTGATTTATGTATTTTACACGTGGATTATTTTTGGAGATTTTTTTTCTTTTTTTTTTTTCCTTCAAATTGATTATCAACATGAAAGGACACGAATTGAAATAAATTTCAAATATATATTTATTATACAAAAAATAAACCTTTTCACATATGGTAACGTAAAGGAATGTGATGTTCTCTTTATACAACAATAAAATGATTATATTTTTACATAACTTTGTTGTTTTATTACTGGCTGTAATTTACTTAGCTCGTTCCTTATCAGCACATAGATAATTCTGTTTCTAGATATTGATGATTCAATAAAAACACAAGACAGTAAGTATAATTAGATTGGGATTGTTACATAGGTATTATAAGTATATTAATGGACGTTACATGTAAAACGAGCAATTTATATATCAAGACGCGGCAATACCATAACTAATCTTGAAATCGATGAAAATTTCGGTAAAACAGCTCGTAGTCAAAAACCTCCACACATAAATAAAATTCCAGATATTACGTAACCGAGGCCCTCTTGAGAGGAGTGGTCAAGGCGTCTTTATCACTAGCCCTTCAACGTCATGTAACGTTGTAACTGATAATAACAAATTCGTAATTGTAATTGTCCGATATATGACATTATAGAACTTTTAAAAAAATTAAATGAAATATATCGGTATCGTTCAGTAACAATCTGGTCGACGACAAGCACTGGTGAGATCTCACAACACCTTTATCTGCACGTAAAGATACAAACGCAACTCACTCAGTTAAGATATAACAAGATGAGAATTTTAGTGTTTTACTGTACGATGTATACGCTACATAATAAAAAAACATGTTTGGATAGAATGAATATTCATCCTCCGAAAATTGTAGATCCTCTTGTTCATTGTTTTATCAGCTGACTTCACTCTTTCGTCACTTTTACTATTTACCTATTAAGTCCGGAATTCGCTGGAAAAGATAAAGAAATTATATAAAAGATGACACTCAGCTACACATAGAAAACTTGTAGCAGCTATGTATAATCATGAATTCATGAAATCATGAAAGAATTTCGTAACATAAGCCAAGTGATAATTGACGTGTGAACAAATATTCTGTTAACTTGAACAAAACACTCGTTTTGCACAGCAGAATATACAAAGGAAAGTACATAAATATATGCTAGTCAGCAACATATGGATTAATCTCCTTATATCACAGACTATTTGCATAACGAAACGAACTCATAGAAAGAGTAAACACAACAACAAAAAAAGTCCTATATTTTGCGATATAGGAAATTGGGTGTAAAAAATCCACACTAGAACAAACTTCCATCCTTGGTAGTTTAGGGTTTTATGGACAGTATTCACCATCCACACTTATTTACTTATCAAAGCGGGGGGAGGGGAGGGGCGTTAGGGGATGTTGTGTTGTACTAGGTCTTGCTTTTGATACATGACGTCTTTCGTGGATATAGTGACATTGAGATCATACCTTTTGAATACCGTATTCAAAAGGTATGATCAACTGTAAAAAGTCAATATTGTAGATTTGAGAAGCATGAGTTTACTGCCCATCAGCTGTACAGAAATGATTAATATACAATAGGGCAAATTGGAAACACGCTTTCCATACAGCTTCGAGGACAGCTGTTCCTGTTGAGTTTCTTCGCAGGAAAAGATCGACGTATATGTCTGTCATGCTATTGACTGTGATTCTGGTAGGTATAACAAGAGATTTAATGACCAAGTTCATAACTACAAGACGACATCAATGTGAACAACGTCGACTCCTGATGATGATCACGATTAATTCAATCTTGTATGGAAACAAAAACAGGTCAGCCAGTTATTTTGTTTCCACAGGTATCATATGTCAGTAGACGATGTTGTTATCCAGAAATATCAACAAGTCTTAATTCACACTCATATTCGATGAAGTTAGTTCAAAATAAGAACAAAGTACAGATTGATAAGGAATCTCATGAAAAAACGTAGAAGATCTGTTCCGGAAGTGTCATCTGTATCATCGACAACACCTGTAGTGTAAATCTTGGTCCATTCAAAGAAGTTGTTATATTACCTTCCCAAAAGAGAACGATGGAACCGCTAGGTAAATTAACAAGGATCAAACACGTCCAACTACATCAGGTAATATAATGTTCTCCAATAAATCACTGTGGCAACCGTAAAACTTCATCACAATCTTCATCAGCCTGCACCTCTGTCAAAAGTGTTGTGAGTTTGTACTGTTGGAAGTAAGGTTATTGCTACCCAGAAATTAACATTAACAATATGGAAACTAGCATCAGCATTACAGTGTAGTGGAAAGCTGATAGGGAAAATCTACATGCATGTAAGCGGTCGATCATGGTAGTAGTCTGTTGTGTCAATGACTCCCATTTTCTGAGTGTATACGATGTTTCTGTTATTTAGAGACAGGAAGTCATCAATATATCTTAAAGTATACTTGAAGGACTTCGCAATGTCTTTGTGGTGACCTGTTTTGGTAAGCTCTATTTTATACATTCAACCTCATACAGAAATAAAGGGGGTTGGTTGCACAGTTTGGTCCCATAGGTACAAGTATATATACCAATAGTTTAGTGGAAGGTCTTGCTCTCGAACACTCCGGATATATTGTCAAACCCGAAATTCGAATTATTTTATGACTTCGTCCCTCTTATATTTCTTCTTCGCTCTGGATGTATTTTGCAATCAGCTTCAAAATATTACCAATTTGTTGTTTTAAACATGAATAAATCTCGACGGGATAGTTTTATAAGCTGCATTGAATTTTAGGTGAAACTGTGTACCTTGTATGCAAATACCAACACAAACGACTTTATAGAACCGATATAACAAATACACAAAAGGAAGGATGGAAGTGGAGAATGTCCTATGCTCGGTTATAACCTAAACAAGGACGTTAAGCTCCCACCTAAAAAAGGATGGAAGGAGTGTCTCTGCTCCGAAAGGAGGCCTTCAAGCTTTACTATGTCCTTATACAAGGTGGTTAAAGTTTAAAGCCCTAGACGCGACTAAGGCAAAATCCAAAGTGATTGAAAGACACTGGACGATTCTCCCTTGTGCCAAACTTCCAGTGTCAATTCTATTAACAAAAATAATAAGTTTAACAGACAAACAGGGTTCAATTGTCTTTGTTTTGAAAGAAACATTGACATTTCAAATTGTACAATTAATAGGTCTAGAATCAATAACGTAACGCTAGCATAGTGGTAGGATCTCAGCTCTCAGCTAACTTGTGAAGTATAGAATTCAATGTAAACGAGGAAGATCTGTGACAGTATCATTTATAGGCAATCTGAATGATGATTAGCCAGTAACAAGCAAGCCTTCATTTCTTTTGTATCAAGGAAGAGTAATAATGTCTGCAGACAAGGACACAGTTGCTGGATGTCTTATCTACAAGCACAATAACATACCTATCATGTAAATAAAGAAGTGTTGATTGAACATATGGATAATGGATTTCAGAATTGTGTTTTGCTTCATATAAGAATGATAGACCGAAAGTGATTCCAATGCAGCATGCTTGAGGAACACTTTACCACAAATCTCATCCAGACCATAATTTAAAAACAAAAATAGCGACATGGTGAGACACTATATATAGATTCTGATAATCTGTTCTACTTTGTTACCTCTCACAATCCAAGGTATATACATTTGTACTCCAATGAAACTGTCTCATTAGACCTGAGGAAAGTTGACTGCCTGTGTAGACATTGGCTGTTTTACCCTTGTTACCTTTCCATTGTTAATATGTTAACACTGGAAGAGGTAGTAGCGGATTATATACTGTGGATAAAATTAGATGGTAAATTATATTTTAACAATATCGATACATATCTCTGTATAGTATATTTTCCACTAGAAAGGGCAACTTTTTTTATGACAGTTATGACGTTACTTTGTTTGATCTTTTCGAAATTTGAACCGCCAAATTTAGCTGCATGGGTGACGTATTTTTCACAGGGATCTCAACAGTAGAAGTGGCAGAGAGCCTGATTTGATTCCAGCCGATGTTCTACAAGATAGTCTACTTCAGGTTATAGATAATGTGATAGCGTACGAAGATGAAGTTGGCGAAAGTGTTCGTAATTCTGAAGATGCTTTTGTTAACCAATTTGTGCGTCGCCTTTTACAAATGTGTAAGACTACTGTTTGGAAGAACTTGTGAACTGTATTCACTTAATTTTATACCAGTTTTGTTGTGTCGAGAAACCTATACATACTTGTAGTTGTTCTCGTCATTAGAGTTCTGGACATGGTTTGATGACGAATACAGGCGCTTACATAAGATATATAGAGATGCTTTAAGATCTTTTAATATGTGTAGAACTGTTGGTAATAAAGAAAACCTTGCCCGTGAAAAGAGGACATACAAGGTGTACGAGGCTAAGATGAAGAGGTCTTATCTTCGGAATGAAGGCAATATGTTAGACATTTTAGGGAGAAATGATAATGAAAAGTATTTAATAAAAAAAATTGCTAAGCGTTAAACTGGTTTTCCGGAAAGATAGCTTTAAATAAATTTTACCAATATTTCAAAGATGTCGCCAATATTTCAGTTGATACTCCTTCCAATTTTGACAAAGTTGAAGTTGATAATGAATGCATCTATCCTGAGCTTGATGTCGATTTCAGTCTTGACGAAATAGAAGTTTCAATTAAAGGGTCATCGGAAAGTTAATCTGCTGGTCTAGACAATGTCATTAATGCATACTTGATAGAGTATATCGATGTTTTTCCAGCAGTTTTCCGGAAACTGTTTAATTATATGTTACAAGTAGGATACTTTCCTAAAGCTTTGTCGCAAGGAGTTATTATACCCTTGCATAAAAAAGTGATAAAAACAACGTAAATAATTATCATCGGGGAATCACCCTTCTAAGTCTTATGGCCAAGTTATTTACCTCAATCTTGAATAGACGAATGTTAAAGTGGAGCGAAAGTGAGAATGTAATTACAGATGCTCAATTTGGTTTCAAGCCCCGGAAGTGGCACCAGAGATGCAATTTTTGTACTTAAATACTTTAATTACTAAAACTCTACAGAGTAATTAGAGGCTTTATTGTGCATTTGTAGACTATAGAAAAAAACATTTGATGATATATCTCATGACCAATGGTGGTTCAAGCTGTGGAAATCGGGTGTAAGGTGGCGGATGCTTAATGTTATAAAATCTATATACGAGAGCGTTCAGGCATGTGTAAAGCTTCATGGTAAATTATTATGTATGCATGATTTAAAGGTAGGATTTTTACAAGGGTAATCTTTATCCCCAATAATGTTTTCTTTATTTGTCAATGACATGGAATCTGAATTGATTATTACAAATTGCCAAAGTTATTATTTGCAACTAATTAATTTGTTTTTGATTATGTATGCCAATGCCAAGTATTGTTTTCTCAGGACGTCATTGACCTCCAAAATATTTTGGATTTCTTAAACACTGATTCTCAACATTGAGAAATTATTTGTAAAAATAGACAAAATAAAAAAAGTTGTTTCAGGAAAAATAAACGGCTGTATCCAAACGCGAAGTGGTTGTTTGATAGTAAAGTTATAGAAGTGGTAGGCCAATTTACTGTTGCATTGAATATTGTTATGAGAGGGAGGAAAGCTTATTTTATTTATTTGATACTTATATATCATGAATTGTGGATTACAGGTGTGAAGTATGAGGTCATAGTACTGCACCATAGATTGAAAATAAACATTTGTTATTTTTGAAAACCTTATTGGGCGTTAGGAAATAAGTAAGTAACGTCATGGTGTACTTTGAGTTCGGTCGATATCCTTTGTATATACGGCATAAGATTGCTATTGTTAAGTACTTGTTGAAAATATTAAAGACGGATAACTGTATTTTGAGGGCCTGTCACGACGAACTTTTAGAGCTTTATAACAAGAAACCAAATTGAAAAGATAATTGGGTCTATCATCTAAGACATGTGCTGTGTACTTTGGGCTTTAGAGACGTGTGGGTATCACAAAGTGTATTGAATGAGACACATTTTTTCAGTATTATTTTAGCAGCGTATTCAAGATACTTTTATTCAGGAAAAGAGAAACACATTCGAGACATCTTCAAAATGTATGTTGTACAAACACATTGTTGATCGTTTTGATCTACAGTGGTATCTAACAAAACCGTTATTTAGACAAAATAAACGTATTCTTGCGAAATATAGATTGCAAGCGCACGATCTCATTAAAGAGGCAGGCAGATACAAGGCGGTGCCTTATAATCAGAGATTATGTACTTCATGTGACCTTGGTGATGTTGAAGGTATGTTTCACTTCATTTTTGTTTGTCCGGTATTTTCAGAATTAAGGATAATTATCGTCTTCGTCCGTCTGTGTTCAAATTGATAGCGCTGTTATCTTACAAAAATAAATAAATAAAATAAGTTAGAAATTTCAGTAAATACTTCATTCAAGCAACAGTCCTTAGAAATCGTTTATTATGTATATAAGCTGTATATCTTGCTTAAACGTCCTGTTACTCAATAATGTGACTAAGGTATAAGTTGTATTATTGTGAATTAAGTAAGTAATATACTGTAGTTTTTTTGCCTTCTGCAGTATGATTGAAGTCTTGTTATTTCCCAATAACTTGACCAGTTTAAAGTTTGCCTCAAAGAGTTCTGTCATTTGACTTGAAAAAAATCAATTTTTCCAGACTTTTCCAGACAGTAACTTTTGCGTGAATTTGTGAGAATCGAATCTAATTCATATGTTTTCCGCCATTGTACAAGACATCTGTATTTGCTTTGATCAATATGTATAATATTGTATGCCTATATGCAGTGTGCATTTGTTAATAAAATTGAATTGAATTGAACATTTAACAAAACTGTCTCTGGTAACTCGCCATCAAACTTCATCTTTAAATCTATGTGGACAAATCAGACAGTTATATTGTACCCCTGAAGTAGGTTGGAACATGCAACCGCCTGTTTGTCTTACATTGTATATGACTATGATGTCATTATTATTATCATCCATTTGCTCATGTACATGTTATTACAAAAGTGCAAATCTACATTGTAATATGCAGTGCTGTAATTTGGACTGAAATTTGACTCATACCTTATCAAATGTATACAGAGTTATAGTACAGCAATGCTATTTTTAGACAGATTTGACCCACACAGGATTTTTTCAAGTAGCAAAGGAAAGGCAACTACTACAGATTTTGGTGGTGTATCCACCAATGAAGAAGGGAGACAACTCTTGCAGTATTGGAGAATATTTACTGAACATAGTTTTAGATAAACTGGGTATAGTTTGATTTATCTTCTGATGAATGATCTTACAAGTCTAATTAAACTCGTTATAATCATACACACTTGGCTAAACATAGGTACTAAAAATGAATAGTATTGTGTTTTGTGGGTATAAGAATATCACTGAAATAGAGGAATGACACTGGAAATGTCAGGATTTTTAAATGATTGTAGTTTTTTTCCTCTTTTGTTTTTGTTTTAGATATTTCTGTCGAAAATTTCATTAAAAGAAAGAACTTCTTGTCCTGCTTATGTTATGTTTTAATCTTTAACTTAGTAAGCAGTTTAATGGAAATATTTTTTAGTGTAAATAGTGACAACTTCTAGTCTAGGTGTCAAGATATTGTAACAGAATGAAGAGGGGATGAATACAGATTCTAGATATTTTGTAATGGCTGCTAAGAAAGCTACAAAGGATCTGACTACCTGAAATACATCAGTTAAAATACAAAAAAAAAATAAATATCCTGGATAGATAGATGGCAATGGATGGAAAAGAACAAATAAAACAAGATAGATGTATACACTGTACATTATAACGCGTTAATATTTATTAGCTCTTAACAGAAACAAATAACAAATATCAATACCATAATTCAAGAGAATGATGGGGGTGCATTTAACAGAAGGCCATATGCATATTGATTTCAAAGATGAAGACTGATGTAATTTCCATTCATCAGGGGTCATATTGACTATCAAACCTCTGCTGGTGTTTGGTTGCCCCCTGTACATTTGTGTTAGAACATTTGTGAACGTTGCATGAAAATCAAAGAACAAATTGAGAAGCCTGGAACTAAAGTGACAAAATTTAAAATCTACAATCATGGACAGACTTAATTAAGTCCCAGGTGTAGCTAAGAAATGTAGCCAGTATGAAGTTATAGTTATCCTAACTGGTAGCCCCATTATCATATCTTAATACTGACATTTCTTGTCAACAGACAATTCATTTTGAAGAAGTACATACTTAATTTTTTAGAATCAAATTTTAACACAGTATCACTTTCTTTAGATATATAGATACTAAGTGTACATAGGTTTTACTCTGACAAAGAAGAATTTTACGAGATAACAGTCAGTGCTGAAATAAAAATATTACTTTTAAAGGTTGAAACATTTACAGTTCAATTTTTTTCTTTAAAACAATATTTTTGTAGTTGATAATTCCAGTATTCATCTCATCTATATCTAAGTTGCTTAATTAACAGTGCCTGAATCTTACAACATTTGAGGGACGATTGTTCCATTTATTGACAGTTCGTTGTGTAAGTGAAAATTTTCTAATATCTAATCTCAAAAAGTTTTTTTCATAAATCTTTAAGTCGCGTCCCTGATTTGAAAGATGTCTGTCACTTCACAATCATATTTCCTGTGCAGCATTTGTCAATCTCCCCATATGCTAGTATTGGGAGTATAAGTTTCTGTAATCTCTGAATAGGATAAGTCTTTTTTTCAGTATCAGGCATGTGAGTGGTATTTTTTGAAAAAGTCTGAAAAGTAATACGAGCGCCGAAGGCGCGAGTGGGGGGGAGAGTATGAGAGGGGGGGTTTACCCCCCCTCTCATAGGGGGGTCCGGGGGGCCTCCCCCGGAAAATTTTTGAAAATTTAGACTGCCAGGGATGCATTTCTAGCCACTTAAGGGGTATACCATCAGATATTTTGGCATGCATTTCTTGCCATAAACGTCCTTCACACTATCTCGTTCTATTATATCTTTCCGGTGACTCATATTGCCTTAAGTCCTTTTAAAACATAACATTATCATGTCAAGGTCGATATGTAACATACGGGCACTTTAAATCAGTGTGTACTTGATGCTTTGACTACCTACGTTGATCCAAGCGTTTCTACGATCTACTTCAGGCAAGTATAAACTGCAAAACGAAAACGGACACCACAAATCCGGATTTTTTTACCGACGAAAAAAATCGGAAAAATATTTCTAAAAATCGGATTTTTTTGTTAAAAAATCGGAAATCCGCCAATTGGCGGAAATTTCACATGCCTGCTGTATAACACAATGATACATTTTGCTAATAAATACAATCAATACGTTATAAATATTCCTGCTTTGACAATTATTACTTTATAAATCTACCTAGATCTACTCACAAATGGTTTTGATTGTGTCACAAAATGTTTACACTGATGACGTATTAGCTTCAGTCTTTCTTATGTAGCTACAAGCAATTGTTCATGCATTTCAGTATCTATTTGATGTATATATATATATATAATACAACATGTGTCCCAGTTAAGATTCATAGGTGGAACTGGTTTTTTCTTTTTTCTTGTGTTTTTACAAACCACACTGGACTCCTCAAAACTAGAAATTACCCTCCTGTTTTTCCCAATTCCTTTTAGTTTTACATAAGATTGACAATTCCTAAAAAAAATAGTCCATGCTCTCAGAACCCAGTATTTTCCCCAAATGTGCTATACATTGAAAAGTTAGTAAGAAAGTTCTAAAAGAACAGCTATAAAATTACTGGTATTGTGATGAACTGCTATGCTACTGGCATTCATCATGCTATGAATGTATGATTCGTTCTTGGTTTGGCTAGTTCATATCTTAACAAATAATTCAAAATTAAAAAAAAAAAAAAAATGATGTCATGAGCACAGCTGCTAAAGCAATATTTCCATACCAAAGTGACCATCACAAAAAATGTAACCATGGAAATCTTAATACTAGAATGATTTTCAAATCCAGATGTTGCTGTGGAGGTAATTTCATTTCATAATGATATCAGTCTAAATCCAGGATATGAGATTGCCAGATAATAAAAGTGTACAAACAGGTAAGTGAAGAAAGCCATAACATGAGATAATACACTCTGTGATAAGTACGTGTATATGAAGAATTAACATTTGTTATATAAAGAACTTTGTCATTTCATCAGTTTGCTCATACGACTGTTCACATCTGTAATCCGTATGTTAGCTTTGTCCACAGATGTTGTAAGCGTGTCCAGTTTCTCATTCTGGACACCTGTCTCCTGCTGGACAGATATCGCCAGTGACCGCAGGTCAGATAGAGTTTGCTGTATTTCTTGTACCTCTCCATCACTCACTACTTGGTGAGAAAGCTGCTGAAGTTGCTCACCGTGGTTGTCATGATCGGTCAGACTTTGACTGTAAGAAGTTTGCACTGGTGGTATTGATGAGGGTGACCCTTTTCTTGACAACAAATCACCTGAAAACATGATGCAAAACTTTAATATTCCTGTTTATATAATAAAATAATTATTGACATTTTTAAAATCCAATCTATCAGCAGAACTTTTTATTAAGAGTTTATGAGCAGCACAACTAATGGCAGTTTAAAGCTATATTTATTGAACATAGTTACATAACCATATTATAGTTAATTAATTACATTAATTTTGAAATTAAACAAATAATGCAGTTTATGACCTGGTTATTATCACACAATGATATCTGAAGCAGAAAATATATAAGTTGATGTCCATGTACCCATTTTTAACCTGTCTACTCTTATGAATTTCTTAGGAGAATTTCCCTCCCTAAATTTCACTTCATATTCCTGCATATCTATTAAATTCCACCAATGATGCTGAACATAATACTAAAGGCCTTTTATAAGTCCTCATCTTTTCATTCTGACCAAGAACATATTTACCTCTCTTAAGTTCAAAATGTTTTGGATCTGTCGTTTTAATATGACCACAATCATCTGGTTTCTGTCTCACAAATCCACTTGTTATGTATTCAACTTTGCTCCTCAACTTTTTGTCAAAAAATTCCAAGAACCCAAGTAACGACGTACAAACAACTCCAAAGTTCAAGTCTGGCTGTCCGATCAGAAACTGTGTCACAACTATCTCACATGGTGATAATACCCTTACACGAGAGACATCACTCCATTTAAAGTGATGAATCAGTTTCTGTTTATCACTTAGAATAAACAGTCCTTCTGGAGCAATACGTAATAATCCCAGTTTTTGTGTTGTCATTTTATTAATTACCATTTTGGTATATAGAATCTCGTATTGAGATATCTCGGGAATGTCTCTATCACGTACAATCACCGGGTCAACCTTTTGGTATACTGCTGGAATATTCCATTTTCCTACCCAGGCTTCCATTCCTAACATTAAATTCTCTGCTACATCTAGGTCGTTATGGATGTCGGCCATAGTAGTAAGAGTGGAGTCTATCTGTCCACCTTGCGATGACAATATCTGTGCAGAGGCACAAAGTGTCTGATGGGAATCATGCACAACTTTCAACAGCTTACGTCCCATTTCTGTTCCCTTGGATGTTGACCCTTGACCCTTGTTTTCCAAATTTTCTTTTTCAGAAAAAACTAAATTTGACATGAGAAAATACTGTATCACATTAAAAACATCCTCCCTGTTTGGAAGTGACGATAACCAATATTTCTGTCCATCTTTCTTAATTATAACTATTGCACCAAATATAATACCAGTTGTTGTTTTCTTTACATCTCCAAAATCACCATACTTGCAGCCCACGTTGAACGGGGAGTTTTTATCTTGAAAAAACATGCCCTCGATGGTGACAGACAGTGTTCCTGTCAACCATTTTCTAGTTTGATCTTCATAAAACTGAACCTCCCATTCCCTTACATGCAGTTGTCCAAAATCAGTCATCTTTTCCGTGTTTACTTGGAGTTTTTGCTGTCTAAAGAAGAGACAGTACACATGCATATATATATCATAAACTAAAACACAAAAAACGTATTTATGATATAAATATGATTTAACTGATATTGAATCATTGGCTAGTTCTAATATCCAAGAACAAATTCATACAAACCGAAAGCAATAAGTTGATAGTCATCATATTCACATTTTACAGTAGGTGTAAAACAGTACATGTACAATATATTGGTTATGTGATATTGGATCCTTGACTAACTGCTTGTAATGTCATGCTACGTACGTAGTAAATATCAACTTACACAGTATTAGGCAATTGTTCTCTTTTACATTGTATATCTCTTTAAAGTCCTGAAAGCAGGAAGATACGACATCTATTTATATATTATCAGGCAGCTGAAATGTATTGAAAACTCTTATTTATCTAAAATCTTTACTTCTCCCTTCGTTTCCTACTTTCGATTTAATTACCAAGTGTCTATTGGAGAGTAACTTCCCTTGCCGGAAACTCATGAGAGTACGTCACTCATTGGCCAATCGATTTTAATAAAAGTCAATTCCATTGGTTGGATCCCGCGGTATTTGTTGCCTTAGCATCGCTCGTGATTGACGAGCTGAGGCAAGTTACTGCTACTGTTTTCTATTGTGGCACCTTCTGATGATGGTTATCTGATAGGTCGTAGGAAACCTGGTTGTCTCAACGGGTAAGTGGTATTTATTTTTTACTCTTGAGTTCACTTATGTCAACGATGTAACGCAATCTCTCAAAGTCAGCTCAAAGTCGATATATTACACTCTGTCAATGTGATATTTTGATTGTTCTTATCAGCTGTCATACACGTGATTCCTGATGGTCATTTGGTTGTCTGCAACAGTTTCGCTCGAACTTTGTTTGAAGAACGTGAATAAACTGCACCGGTAGTTCATTCGGATTAAAGATGTAATCACTGGGTTTTTCAACATTATTTGACGGAAAGATTAGCAGATTATTTATAAACGGATTAATTTGTTAGTTCGTGCTTTCTGACTCGAAGTCATAAATTTACTGGTGTCAGTTTTAAGCATGCGAACTGATTTGTGTGGAGATGATGATTGTACATCTGTCTTTATTCATTCCAGAGGAAGTAAAATAAATAAGTTATATTTTTATCTGAAGATAGAGTAGTTACTTGAAAAAAATGAAGAGATTTAAAAGTCAATAGAAAGTGGACAGATATGAGTGTAGTGTTTACCGCCATCTAATGTCACACATTGTTTTCTTTTTTTTTTGTGAGACTTACCAAATTTGACACTTGAGCAGAATCAACATTTTGACACAAGAATTAATGTGGCAATTTCATTTATATTGTCAATTAGTAGATTAAAATACATTTCCTTTACAATTAAGAATTAAAAAAAAAATGAATTTGTCAATAATTTCACATAATAATTGAAGAATGACTTAAATGTAACAGATTTAGGCAATATAAATTATTTTTGGAAAAAAAAAAAAAAAATATATATATATATATATATACAGATGTATTCTTCATAAGGAATCTTAAGATACAAAGCTTAACAGAGGTGAAAAAATTGAAGTTGTGTATAATGTACATAAGTGCATACATATGTTTGTTTGATTTAGAGGTATAACTCAGAAAATTGTACCAGGAAAAATATGTAAAAACTTTAGGCTGTACTGGATGTACTCAAAAGGGTTATAAATTATAACACTTAAATTTATACATCTTTGTTAAACCATTTAAATCTTCTGAATGACTTTAAATGCAGTATAAAAAATGAATAAATACATAACGGTATGATTGTTTTTGTGAACAAAAACACTTATAGTCAGACAGACTTCAATCATAGGCCAAACAGACTAAGGTCAAGTGAATGAATCTGTTTCTTATTGCCACATGATTAGATATATAAATATAGGTATTGGTACTTTATCAAGAAATCCTAAATTAATGTGAATGTGAAAGTCACTTTTCCTGTTCTATCAGCTGTTAGGTATAGATCGATCAAGGCTATACTGTAGTTGAAGAATTTATGGTATATCAAACCTGAATAAGCTATGTTACATGTGTTATCAATGATTTACATTAGGCATGTGGAGAAGATTATAAGGTTCAGGCCATAGTTTGTGTGGAGTTTGGAGATTTAAGACTGAAGGACCTGTTTGTTCGCTGTCCAAATAGTGCCTTTTACAATCTTTATTATAGTACTGGTGTGACTCAAGGATTTACAATTTGTTTATTGAAGATCCTTGACTTTTTTAGGATCAGAAGATTAAACATCCCAAAAATATGACATTATATAAATACACACAGCATTGCCAAGTAAATCTAACATTTGCCACATTTAAGGTTGCCAGTATCACATGTTCAAAATAGTGATATATCAACCCTGTAATTGTCCATATCGTGATGTCATCCTGCTTAAAGCATGAAATATGTTAGAAACACCTGATGTTTCTTCACTTTTGATCAATAGTTAAAAACTATAAATTCAATTCTTGGATCTATTGTAATCAAAATAAAGCTCAAACGTAACAGAACATCATCTTAATATTTACAAATGTGATGAATATAGAATGGAATTGATTATAAGGTCATTGTCCTTGTTGACCCTTTAGAACACCCTACTACCCTTGATTTTGAAAGCTATGACCAGATATTATTTGACAACAGGTTTGTGTCATGTTGTGATGTTCAGATAATGAAATCATATTAAAATGATGAGGCATTTAAAATTACCACTAACACAGTAGGTGTTTATCTCAGGTTAGAAATATTTACTAGATTTTATAGTGAAAAACTAACACATCCTCCCCTCAACCCCTCCTCCCCTCAATCAAAAAAAGAGGACACTTCCGTAATTTAAACATAATGAAATGCATTTTTTCCAATAATTTTTGTGAAATAAAGACAGTTTCAAAACTTGTACTTGCATGTGATTTATGTAATTAGGCAAAGAGTAAACACGTATTGAATTTAAAAGGACTTAATATTTTCAACATCATTACCATTATTTAGTGAGTGAAGACGAAAATGTACAGTTCCCTTAACATAGACATTAAGATGAAAAATTCACCATTGCAAATTGGTTTGCTTGGAGAATGTTTTTTTTACTGGTGCCAAATTCTGCTGCATGGTTATACCAGACGAAGTGTTTTATTGGGCCTTTAAAATCAGACATCTTTGTAGGACTAAATATTTGGGTTTTTTTTTTTCAAAAAAGAAGAAAAAGAAAGAAATACTCCCAAGACTATTGTTTTGTGAATAAATATACTTACACATGATATAAGTGTGTGGACAATTTTGTTGTCTTCTACAACAAGAAATTCAGTGCCTAATAATCTGTTGAATGACCTTGACTAGGAAATAATTGAGCAAACCAGTGGTGTTTTTTGTTTACTTTTCATGTAAAGTCAGTGTAGGTGCAGTCTTTAAAACAGACTGGTTAACATTGACAGAGAGAAAGGAATACTTGTGTGTAGATATGTATATCAATATCTATCAGATTCCTCTGATTTTGGAATGATGAACACTTGAGTCAAGAGAAAATTTCCAATTGACCAATTTCCCATTCCTGGGTTTCAATAGGTCTTTGATAGTGAAACCAGTATATCAACAGCTGTAGACAACTTGACCGGTTTCCCTGTTTGAAGTAGAGCTGGATGGCTGTGATCAGATGATCATGCGATCAAGTGCCTGCCTCCATGCTTACAGAACTATTGAGTTGGACATTGTGGAGCTGGCGGTGATATATTACACAGAAAACTTATTTGCAGTCAACATTTTGAATAGACATTTGTCACATTATGAGTGTTGTGAGGAGTTTAAAGTTCCTATAACTAAGTACAACGTATAGATGTCTGCTATTGATTTCCGTCTCTATATAAAACGGTCCTAATGAAATTTGTCGCATGGAGTGGTTTTGTGTAAGGCAGAGATTGGAACTCTTTATTGAATATATAAAGATCTAAACAGGATAGATATATGGTAAGTCTGATTTCTTTTCTGTGAGGGTATATTTTACTGTAAATGTCTTAATTTATGATAACTGTAGTCAGTATGTAAATGAGATTTTTGGTAAGACATACACTTCAGTATCCATCCTTTTTATCCAGTCACTTGATATGATCAGTCCAACAATAATTAGTTCATTTGTTTTCTGATGAAAATATGTATTAGAGTATGGTAATAATTGATTGAACACAGATACATGTATCATTAAAATTCTGAAATTTAAGTCTGACATGAAATAAGCCAGTTACTGATGGACTGTGATACAGTCAGCACAATGAATAGATCATCTATGGAGAATCACAAGAAAATAATTAACAGGGATTCAGAAATATTTTCTATTTCAAAAGACAATATACATATAAGTTGTAATAGGATATGCATTGTGTTGTTCAATATTTCAATTATTGCCTAAAAAAATGATCTGTTTCTGCTAATGGCTGACCCTATATATAGCTACCCTACAGTCTACCAGGAAGTCTTGAGAAATCTCCAAGGAAGAAATATTTCAGGCATGACTCCTTCTCAATGCCTTAAATTAATCTATTTACTAAATAAGATCATGTGACTGCTGTTTCCAATTTAGTGGAAATAAATATTGTGTTTTAGGTCCATAACACTCCATGGTAATCTAAAATCGGGTTTGCTATTAATGATTGTTCAAATTTGTACTAAACGGAATGATTGACTACAAACTGTGTTGATTCCGATAATTCCTGAGTTTTAATTATTGGATATATATAATACCTATAACTTTTAGTATACATATAAAAATGATAAACTCTCCTGGATTGATATTAAAAACTTAAATCACAGGTACATAATTTGATATCACTTGCTTTGGCAGTCACATATAATGTACATCATCACTATGGTAACATTAAAACATTGCTGTCTAATACTGAAGTTGCTTATCAATATCTCCATTTTATTTCATGGTCACATTAAAATGTAATGCCAAATAATTCTCGGTATCGATACATTTTATTGATTTCCATTCAAGTATAAGAGTAGTGAAGAGATTCCTAATAAACATGGCAAAGCAAATATGTGCTGAAATAGAATATTTACATAGTGTATGTTAGTATGTAGTTAGAATATCTCGTCTCACAAATTTGAGGCTTCCATTTAAATCTGGAGTGTCTGAAGTTCTGACCTGAAGTGTTTAACTTTATAAGCCTTCTAGAATATTTTGATCTGTAGAAGCATGACTACTTCTTGTTAAATCCTGTTATGTTGTGTGGCTCACATGAGTTTAGTAGTAAAGCTAGGTTCTTGGATGTTTTCTGGAATAATACTGTTTTTGGTGTGTTGGTAACACAGAAGGTAGTTAATTCAGGACCAATATACAATACAGTACTATAAAACCTATACTTTCATGCTTATTCAGTATCACATATAGTGTTTCATGTAAAATTAC